CTGCAGTACCCCCTGTTGGCGAGTGGTGTACATTTGAAAAACTGAGTGACCACCTAAATAAAAATGAATAAACTACATAAAATAGTTATGATTTTACTTAAAATAAAATTTGCTGTATACATTAGCATATAATAGTCATAGTATATATTTGTATCAGTCAGGTGGCTTGCATTTATTTTCCAAATAAATAAATCAGAGTCATCTAGGTCGTAGGTCGTGGGATAGTGACGTAATGGACGCGACACACACACTGCAGAGTGACAACTTTCTAGAATGGCGCAAAAAAGGATTTTGGATTTTTTTTCTCCAACAAACAACCAAATAAAAAGAGTGGACCACCAGGTACTCCAACTAGAGTAATATGACACAGAAGAGACTGACACATCTGACTTTGATGCATGTCCATAGTAACATTTTGGACAATGTGTATGTATCTGCTCTAATGAGGGTCTTCATTAGTGCCACCACAGAGAGGAAGGCTACATTTGGGGTTTTGTGAAGCCCCAACACATACGCAAGGTAAGACGATATTTTCCTTTAATGCTGCTGCCGCTGTGCAGTGTTTTGCCTTTGTCAATCAGTTAAAATTGAATTCATAGTTTTATTAATATTGTAAATAATGTTTTCTGACTATTTGTAATGTTATGTAGGTTTGTAAGACCCATAGTTAGCGTGTGGGCATGTGCAGCTGTTGCTAAGTGATGTAGGTCTATAATGGTTTATTAAGCATAACAGTTAAGGCGAGACACCCCAGGTGAATAGGGTAATTTTTTTTTACTTAAAGATATCAGCTAGAAATTTCTCCAGTTAATTACCTACAATAAGGCAATTGTTTCTTGTATTACAAGTTTTCTGAATATGCAAATGATCCATTATCTCATTAAAAATGCGCATATTTTGAACACATTTCAGGAACCAAAAATGTCTACTTTGGATAAAGCCAGGTTCAAAATTATTTTTTCATTTTGTATTCATATTAGCATCCAAGGCTTTTACTGAAGGGACAGCCCTAAAATATCAATTTTCGCCATGTTTTTAGGTATACAATCTTATATAATTCAGGCTATGAATGATATATCAACAAACCCTTTAGTAAAAGCCTTCATAATATTGATAGGAATATAACTGGAAGGTTTGTTGCATGTAAGTGCAACTGAAGTGGACATTTCGGAGAGTAGGAGAAAAAACTAATTTTGAGAAAACGACCTTTAAAGATTGCAGTGTGGCGCTAGCTAAACCCTCCTGTTCTTTGGATGACAGCTTGCGCCTCGACGCTCTCCGTGAATGTATTTCATGTTCTGGGTCATTTATTTTTTGTATAATCTTGCTTCGTGCAAGTGACAATTGTTGTTGTCTTCTCTGTGAACGTTTTTTCGCCGTTCTTTTGCCATTTTGAGATTTAAATTTCTAGCGGAAAAGCTAACCAGGAAGTGTTTTAGCACACCACGTGACGCATCTGAACGAATCACGTTGTCAGAAGTTGACACCAGCCAATGAGATTTCGTTTCTTGGTTTAAGACCCTTTTGTACTTTGACGATTGGTTGCTGATGCAAAGGAAATGACCATATTTGGATCCGATGAGATTGTGCAGGAGAGACGGAGCTTTCCAACGATATCTCTGATGACATGGTGCAAACAGCGGTCGCGGTACTTTATGTTACGAGAATGCTAACTTTTGGTGAATTTAGGAGAAATATACAGACGCAAAAATAGACAAACTATAGTAAAATAAACTTAAGTGTGTATTTTGTACGTTTTCCTTCCAAAAGCCTGAAAGAAAACATGTTATGGAATCAAAATAGCACAACATCTCAAAATGTACCAGTGCATGAAAAACGATGTTTTTGCCTGCCGTGTCTCGCCTTTAACAAACAATTTATGCTGCTCACATCGCTGACAGCTGGCCCGGCACCGCCTTTTTTCTTCTTTTTTTTAAGCGGCCCCCCTCCCCACTTTTGGTAGCACCCCCTGAGCAAAATGAATTCCCGCGGCTATGATATAGGATATACATATTTGTATACATATCTGTAAATTGTATAATTTTATATTTCGTATTTGGGATTTCTCTTTTGTCCACTCAAATACACTTGGCCCTTTCTCTTTTCCATGTGGAAAATGGCAGCTGCATATTCTGCTTTTCTCATCTGGCTCCCTGTCTGCTCGTCTACAATTAGAAAATTATATAATTAATTACTAATAATCATTTAAACCTGTTATTACCAATATTTCACAAATTCTTCATGTAAACTTAAGAGCACAGCTGTATGTTGAGTGTCAACTTTGCTTGGTTCATCTTACTGGGGGGCAGCTACATGGATGTCGGTGCAGTCCACAATAATTTTGCAGTTGAAGGCAGAATGAATTTATTATTGACTCAGAATGAAGAACAACTTCATGTCATACAATACATTTGTAATTGTGTAAAAATATGAGCATTGATTAGCAAGCAGGACCTGCAGGAACAGAGAATGGTGATGGATGGAGCTGGGAAGAGAGAAGAATAAAGAAAACAGATCAACTTTATTATCGGATATTCAAAATTCAATTTCAAAACAAGTTGCCGCTCCTACAGTTTTCTAAAGATGATTTCACATTACCAATGCAAAATATCACACTCAATACATGTGTGTCTCTGGGGGGTGCATTGTGCCTTTGATGTATATAAATATATATTTATTTATATATATATATATATATATATTATTTTTTT